CAAAAAAACAAAACAAAGCAAGAAAAATGTAGATAAGTTTCGTCTTTCATCCAAAATACTTCCTCGGTTTGAGGTGCTGTATTCAGCACAGTCTTATAAATAGCACCTTCTCAGAGAAGGAAAGCAGAGAAGAAACCCAAACAGGACTCCAGTCAGCCAACAGGTGAAAAGGAGGAACCCAGACCCAGACCAGTGGTCATTCCGTATGTTGAGGGAGTATCAGAGAAACTGAGACGTTTATTTTCTAAACATAACGTCCCAGTGTCTTTTAAACCCCAAAATACATTAAAGACTGGTTCATCCCAAAGATCCAGTCCCCCGGCACAAACAGAGCAGTGTTGTGTATGTTGTTCAGTGTCAGGAGGGTGATCAGTCTTACATCGGGGAAACTAAACAGCCACTGGCCAAAAGGATGGACCAGCACAGAAGATCAACATCATCAGGCCAGGACTCTGAGGTCTACACTCATCTCCAGGCCAGGGGTCACTCTTTCAGGGATGAAGATGTTCACATCCTGGACAGAGAGGAACGATGGTTTGAGAGAGGAGTAAAGGAGGCCATCTTTGTGAAAAGAAACCGTCCATCATTAAACAAGGGTGGAGGCCTCCGGGTTCAACTGTCCCCCTCTTACAATGCTGTGATTGCTAGTATCACTCAACCCTCTGTGAACAGTAAACAGCCATCAGGTGCTAATGATCCATTGTTAGGCTGATGGTCCTTCTTGAGCATGTGATCAGCTGGTTTTGGTTGTCAGCAGCAAACTGGTTGATCCACTCTGAGAAGGTGCTATTTAAGAGACTGAGCTGAAAACAGCACCTCAGACTGAGGAAGTCTCTTGGATGAAAGACGAAACGTATCTACATTTGTTTGCTTTGTTTTTTGTTTTTTTTTAATGTCCAGAGGACCAGATTTAACTTTTTTAGATTTCACCAGTGCAGATTCAGTGCTATGGTGAGCTCTAAACCCTGACTACAACTCTTCTGATTATTTATTTGAAGAATATCGTGTAAATGACCTGCAACTATTTTCTCTAAAATTTTCCAGATGAAAGTTAGATTAGATATAGGTCTATGATTGGCTAGGATTCCTGATTCAAGGTCATGTTTCTTAAGTAAAGGTTTAAATAAAGCAATCTTAAAGCTCTGTGGTATGTAACTGTTTATTAGAGACAAATTAAGCAGATCCAATACGTGTTTATTAATTAAGGGAAAAATGTCTTTAAACAGCCTGGTTGGGATGGGATCTAGCAAACATGTGGATGGTTTGGATGAAGCCATTATTTTTGACAATTCAGAGAGCTCAACTGGACTAAAACAGTCCAAACATAAATCAGGTTCTAATTACATTTTAAAGTTGTCTTATCTGACACAAAACCAGAGGCGATAGTAGGAATGTTGGTTTGAATTTTTTCCCCCAATTGAAACAATTTTATTTATAAAGAATCTCATGAATTCATCACTGCTTATAGTTGTAGGGATACATGAATGAACAGAATTAGACTAGCTATGGTACTGAAAAGGAACCTGGGGTTATTTTTATTCTCATCAGTCAAAGATGATAATATAAAGTTCTAGCTTTACAGAGTGCCTTTTTGTATGTTAGCAGGCTATCTCTCCAGGATAAGTAAGATTCTTCAACATTAGTGGAGCACCATTTTCTTTCTGGCTTTCTAGATGTCTTTTTTAAAGTAAGTAACTCAGAACTGAACCAAGCAGCCAGTCTCGTCTGATTGATTACTTTATTTTTCAGCGGAGCAGCTTTATCGAGTGAAGTTTGCAAAGTAGTTGTAAAATTATCAACTAGATGATCTAAGTCACTGCTCTCTGATGAATTATTCTGCAAGATAGAGGAAAACGATGGAAGAGAATCTTTAAATTTGGTTACAGCTTTTTCTGATAAGCACCTGGGGGGAGGGGGGGGGGGGGGGACAGAGCACTGGGAGACACGTCTGACTTCATCAGAGCACAGAGAGGAAAAGAATAAATAAATAAAATGAATCTATACTAACAAAATCTTACTGTTTAATCCAAGTTTCTGTCAGACAGAATAAATCAATATGATGATCAGTTATCAGGTCATTGACTAACAGGGATTTAGAAGAAAGATCTAATGTTCAATAGTCCACATGTAATGATTTTATTCTTTTGTTCTGGTAAAGTACTTGTGTTTATTTTAACGAGGTTTTTAAGGTTAATAAACTGGTGAATATTTTTAGAGCTGATTTTTGGTTTATTTAATTTGAGCCGTGGGTGAGTTGGCACTGTTTCAACGGGATTTTGGGTGAGTAACGAAGAAGCAGCAGAGAAGTGTGGATGACCACATCTCTGCTTCCTGGACTGGTTTCTAGACTGGACCGTTAACTGTCAACAACCCAGTGTCCAACTGAATCAGCTAAGCTTTTAGAGAGAAGTGCTGCTTCAGTTACGATGGGATGGTTTCCATCTCTCCGCATCTGACCGGGCTTTACCCAAAATGTACTCCAGTTGTCTATAAATCCTACATTGGACATGAGCACCAGTGACCCCCGTGACGCAAAAACGAAGAAGCGAGTACAAAATGATGGATGGATAGATGTTGAATTTCGTATTAGAAAATTTGACATAAAAATGATTTTAATTGCCCACTGCTGAATGGGGAAAGACAGCCAGTAATGATTTTTGCCCATTTGTGTGCATTTTTGTTTGTCTGTTTGCAAAAAATCTCATGAACCAATGGAATCTGACGAAACTTTAAAAATAATTAATTATAAATGTGAATTAGTGTTTGAGTTGACTCAATTTAAGGAGGTGGTTACGAGTGTTCTTAGCAGTCACACGTGTTGGTAGCTCAGTTACTTTAACAGATATCTACTAGAATTCATAGTGATAGTTGAGAGTCATTCCCAACTCATAATGAGTATTAACTGTGTGAGAACTGTCTTTAAAATGTCACCACTAACTATTTGAGTCAAGTTTCAATTTCTCATGAACCACTGGATAGATTTTATTGAAATGTTCAGAATCACTAGATGAATGTTTGCATCTGATTAACTTTTAGGTCAAACCATTTCAAGACGGCCGCCACAATCAACTGACCTTAGCAGCACCAGAATGACTAACCCTAAACTAAGATTTGAATTAGTAGCTGAGTCATTGCAACATGAATGCTAGGTTTTATTTTATGTATGTTTTGCATATATCTAGATCCACTGTGTAGTCTAGTTGGGGTCAGTTCTCACTGATTTTCTGTTGTTCTCATTGGTGCTCTAGTTGTGGGGTGCTGGTGCTTATTTCTAGTAGTCAACATCCAAGAGAAAGGAATACGTTTACAGATTACAAAGCTCATTTTTCCTTTACTTGACTAGATTAGGTGAGGAAACAAGTCACAAAGTCCCACATTAGTTTAGGATAGGTTAAGTAAATAGCTTAGGAACAAGGTTGTTACCTCATAGGATCTATTTCTGCTGTTTTTCAACGATTTATTTTAATCTAATATGTTTGTCAAACATTGAAGTGTATCTTTGACCCAGCTCAGCCTTCAGAATAAAAATAAAAATTTGACTTCAGTAAGGATAGTGCTGATAGGGAAATGGATTCATAAAGCTTTTTATAATCTGGTTTTTTTTTCCTCTTGCAGAGTTCCCTGAACGGACAGTTATGATGGGGAACCACCACGGTTCTAACGCTCATCTGCTTGAATTAATTTTTTGTGCTGTAGAACTCTGTCTCCGAGGTCTTGATGCCAAGGCAGCACAAGAGCACAAGCAGATGGAGCAATAAGAGAGAATAGTTCTAGTAACAGCATATAGGAGTGTTGTGTCCAGTCTTTAAAGGCAAACTTTTGCATTGCAAGTTTGCGTTTTTTTTAAATTATGACAGGACATTTTTAAAATTTCGTTTCATTATATATATATATATATATATATACACGTATATATTTGCATACATAAAGTTCACACCAAACATCTTGTTTCGTCACAATACAGTCAAATGTACTTTACATCTCAACACAATCTGCACAAACTTCTTAACAACTGTAAACAATAGGTGCAAAAACACATTTGCATTTTAACATCGTGAAACTTAATTTAAGTTAAAATTAGAACAAATACTGACTTTATGTGTACTGACCCTGAAAGATCAGCGGAAGACAGTTCCTGTGAAATGTTTCTGCTAGTGCTGCACGAGGAAATCTCAAATTATGTTAACTTAATAATTAAATACAATATGATAATAAATTTGAGTTTTATGCACTTAAGAGGTAGACATTTTTCCAATGTCGCTACATCCAAAAAAAGACAAGTTCTGTATCAACACTTTATGAAAACAAAGTAAAACACTTTATAGAACCAGGATTGCAAAAAAGTGACCAACAAACATTACTGTTACACATAAATGTCCAGTCTGGACTGATGAACACCATTCAGTAGTAACCAGTGTTGCACAGTTTGTTAAAAAAAAAAAAAACATCTGGGTTGCATTTTCTTTTTAAGAGGAAGAGTTTCCAAACAGCGCCATCCCTGGAGAAGAGCTCAGAGTCAGTATGTAAATCTTGGCCCGTCTCCAGCTCCAACACACATTGTTCAGAACTTTCTTGGAAAGTCTGTTAGTCCATTTGGCTCAACACATACTGCATGAAGAACTGGTGCCATATATCTCCCCAAAGCTGTCTGACTACAGCAGGGCTATGAACCATCATAAGTGTACACAGCATAAATCATTGACCTCAGCCTTTGCCCTTGTGCCGAGGTTTGCAAATATTTCATTTTCTGAGTGCAGGAGCTCAGGGAATTGAATCAATAGCCCACTCAAGTTCCCAGGATGTCCTTTCACCATTTGCTCCCTCCTCTGTTTAAAGGTACTGTGCAAACATGCAAATTGCTCACTAAAAAGAGATCAATAGTGGCTGAATAAACTGTAGACTGGCACTGTCACCAAAAGTTCTATGAAAAGACTATTGCACAAGCCAGTCTAACAGCCAGCGTCCTTGTGATGAGGAGTGTCTCCTGCTCAGGAAAGTTTCTACTGCCTGCGGACAGCACAAATGGAGTAAGGTTTGGGCTGTAAAGTCATTCCTAGTTTGGGAGTGACTGTCGGCACAGTTCCTGCGGGGAACTGAAGATGAAATCTCTGCAACAAAGTGGTGAAAAAGAGGAACATCTCCATTCGGGCCAGCTGCTCACCTACGCAGTGTCGCTTCCCTGAAAGTAGAAAAATGCTTATTTTACTCTCTGTTACACAAACATATGGCACTTAATCTGTTTAAGTCATCAGGAATATAAGAAAATCTTTGCACTAAAAATCTACTACAAGCACTTGAACATGAAGCACTGGTCACCTCAAAAGCTGAACACAGATTGATACTCGCAGAAAAAGTAAATGTTACGGCACACTGGTAAGCTACTTTGCTTATACTATATCCATATTTAGTATTAAATCATTTGACCATCAGTGTATTACATTTTAAATTTCAAGAAATAATCAAGTCAATGACAAAGAGTCGTGTAAATAAGGACTTCAGAACAGGTCACAATAATTTCAAGTCAAATTGTTATTAATGTATATAATGGTGGTGTTTTTTATGTTAATAGCTTGGTAGCAACAGATTCCCGTTTTCTTGTTCTAAATGTCTCATAATACAAAGTTTATTAAAAAGTTCATTAAACAAAAACATTTACAACACAAACAGCCAGTATTGTATTATAAACTAGAACGTTCCTGGAGAAACTTTGATGGGGTCTGCCACGCTGCTGCCAATTTAAAGTTCTGATTGGACAGTACTATGTGCACTATGTGCTGGGGTTCACTCTCAGCTACCATTATACCAAATTTCAGCTCAATATGGCACAAAAAAAATCAACGAGTTATAGTCATTTATTCTATTTAGTTAAGGTGGCCATCTTGGATTTTTAATTTGTATTCAGTATGTGATGGGAAACGTTCTCAGCTAAAACTTCACTCAATTTCAGCTCTCTATGTGTAAAAATAGCTGCGTTAAAGCCATTTAAATGCTTAGCTTAGCATAACAAGTGTTCCGCCTGGCGTTTTGTATGGGACAAATGGCATTTGTTTGCAAATTACGTCGCCATAGTAACTCGAAACGCCCCCAAAAATAAGAGCATGCATCATGGCACCGAGCCGGTCGTTTTAATGTAACATTTGTGGGGGTGCACATTGTGGTTCGGGCCGGATTAAAGTTGATGGAAGAGTAAGATATAAAGTTAAACCCTTTGTTAGGTGGATAATAATAGGTGCTGCCATATTCTAGACAGTCCCCAATGAATTTATTGTTACTGTTTTTATGTTACTGTTTTTATTATGGTAGAATTACGCTATTAGTATATTATTAGCTTTAAATTTTATTAGATTGATGGCGATCCTCTCAAGACCCACAGCGTAGTTTTTAACAGCCCACAGTTGTGTCCCAACCTTACTTTTGGGAAAACCCTGTCTAGACCTTTCAATGAGATTTCTAACAGCAAGGGAAAAAATATATCATCTAATATAAAGGGTAAATATAAAAGCTACTGATAGGTTACTTCTCATTAATAAAAATAGTATTTTTACAGTTTAAGACCAACAGAAATACCAACCTAATGAAAATGGAAGGAAGGCCTCACGCCTCACAAAGTTGCCACTGCTGTCAAGAAATCTCTCTGGTAAGAAGACGCCTGGATCGTTCCAGTACTTCTCATCAAAGTGCACGGAGTAGAGGTTTGTGATCACCATGGTGCCTTTGGGAATCGTATACCCATCGACTGTTGCATCCTGGGAGGTGGCACGGAAAATACCAAGAGGCACAATGTTGCAGAAGCGAAGAATCTCGTGTAGAACCGCTTCCACGTAAGGCATTCTGTGCTTGTCCTCCAATGAGGGTGGTCTTCCATCAGACAGGACACTGTCGATCTCCTTGTGAACCCTCTCTTTAAAAAGAAAAACAAACATAAAAAACCAGACTACAAATGTGCATATGTTTAATTTTCATGACCAAATAAAACTTCTCACGTTGGGATAATGCTTCAACTTCTGTCTTACCTTGTATGTTGGGGTACATGGCCATGTACAGCACAGCCCAGCGCAGGGTGTTGGTCGTGGTTTCTGTGCCAGCGATAATTAGCTCACCCACTGAATAGATGAGGTTCTCATAAGAAAAGGAGGAATCGGGATTTCCTGCGTTTTGCTCCAACTCGTCCAAATAAGCATCAACATAGTGGCGTGGTTCATGTTGCACTCTGCCCTGGGAATATGTGTTTATCACCTTCCATAGAAAGTCATACACCTCTGCAGCATTGCGAAACAGCTTCTGGTGTTTCCCAAATGGCAAATATTCAATCCAGGGGAAGGCATTGTACAGGAGAGCCCAGCCACTGACTGCCAACTCCACGTTCTCACTGAATAACTCAATCATGTGCTGAAAGTTGGAGTCATCGTAGGTGAAACGATGCCCGAATATGACCAGATTGGTGATATTAGACACCGCGTTGGTCACAAGGTGTTTGGGATTGAACGGCTTGCCCTTATGTTTGTCAATGGCGTCAACAAAGAACATACACTCCTCTGTGATCCTTTTCTCAAACAGTCTCTGGCTGCTGCCGTAGTAACGGAAAGAGTTGCAAGCCAGCTTGCGATGTTCATGCCAGCCTTTCCCATATTTACAATTGAGAAGACCTACGTTCAGGAAAGAAAAGAAGAAGAAATCAGATCATTTAAAATATAATCAGCCACGGTCATATCTTTTAAATAATTTTGCTAAATATACACGTGCAAATGTAACAGCATCTTACCTCCCATTTTGGTCATTTTTTTGAATAAAGGCAATGATGGTCGATCAGCAAACATCTCGCTCTGATGATAAAGACATTCCTTGACGCAGTCATACCCATTTAGTACCACGGTCAGGATGCCTCCAAGGTCAAGACTGAAAATCTGAAAGGTACAACAGCAGATCAGAAGAATTTTACCCACAAGCTACACACATTATTTTCCAGTTTTCTAAAAATAATAATTTTACTTTAGAATCTATAAAGGTGTTTGCCTGCTGCTGAAGACAATGATTAGAGGTTACTATCCAAAGTATCACTTTATCAAGACACAGTACTGTCCTCGGGTTATCCCTCATGTCTTTATATTTTCTATCTTATGTGGCAGAAACAAACAACTTTACAAAAAGTTTTGTTTGTTTGCCTGACCCATGAGTAAATCATACACTAAACAGCTGTTAAACTCAAGGGGTGAACCAGAGTTGTGTTGAAACAGCAGAGATTTTAATTTAAAATGACATTTTTGGGCACTTTGTTACCAAATACACAATATACCGGTAATCTAATTTGTAGCTGAATTTAAGATCATGCAATTAAATAAAATGAAATAGGGTTTTAGTACCAAGAAGGTGAATCCCAGAGCTGAAAAGCTGTCAGACATTAACCAGCTGCATCTCCCAGAATCTGTATCAGGATTTGGCTTGCACCCCGTTCCCTCCATATAATAAATAATAATGACATAAAAAGCTTTAAAAGACAAAAGCCCGAGACTCGTTTAAAATGCCAATAAAAATGCATGGGTTCTTTGAAGATGAATACAAGAAAAAAGGGGATGGTTTCCAGTGACGGTTCCTAAAATGTTGGGGGGGTGGCAGCATTAATTTCCTGTTGTGTGTTTGTCAACAAAGCTTTTGCTTTTTCCTCCCTCCCCTGCGTGAAAAACGGTCTGGCCTAATACCTCAGAGTAACGGGTGCTTCTGACCCTCAGCCGACAGGTGCACGCCTTTTTTAATTGGATTTTAATTTGATTTGAATTCATATTTCTGACTGATACAAAAAAAAAGGTAAAAATTATACAAAAACACCGGATCAAATATTTAAGCTGGGATCAAACCCACAAACAGTTACATGACCTTTGCTTTAACTATTGACGCATCACAACCATACACAAACACACGGAAATATTTTATAAGTTCCTACCATGCTGGTGGAAATTTCCTGTTCGTTGCCTTTATTCTGTCCTTTTCAGTTTCTGTTCTTGTCCCCTCTGTCTGTTTCATATGGATTTAAAAACAGCGTATTCCTTGAAGGTTTTGCTGCAGCTATTCCTGGGTTTGAGCTCATATGAACGCACTAAAACCAGCTGAATGTGTCCGTGGGGGCAGAACTTGTGCACACCAAATGAAACTGTTGGACCTGCCTGTTGGGATCACTGGCCTCACCTTGACTGGCTCGACAGTAATTCAGTTAAAAACAAAACAGGATGAATCACTAACAATCACCGCATCACTTAAATTGGTCAAAATAGTTAAAAAAATACACAGAACAAAACAATAGGCTACACAGCGAGATGGTAAATGAATAATTTACATTATTAGGAGGAACTACTTTGTGGGGCGAATTAATTTTTCGGTGAGGCTCCGCCCCACCTGCCCCCACAGACCGGCCGGCCCTGATGGTTTCCACTCTGTGTACGGCTCTGGAAGTTTTTAATTTTTTATGCACTTTGTAAGAAAATAATCTGGGTATTTCTTCTCGGGAGGGGGTTTTCATATCTGGGACTTTCTGTCGGTTTTTCTCGTCCAATCAAAAGCTGCATTAAAAGAGCGAGGGGGGCTCTTTTGTTCCGTTTCCGCACCCCCCACCGCATCACCAGAACCCCCCCCCTGCCGTGCCGGAGTCTCTTACCCGTCCGTGAACTTCGCTTTGCCTCTTGAGGAAAACGTGCGGCTCGGTGGCGAGAGAGGAAATGTTTCCTATGACGGGGATGGGAGAGGGGCCCGGGGGGAAGCCGGGGGGCCTCCTCTGCTTGACGAGCTGGCGGAGCAGCAGGAAGGCGAGCAGGGCCGCGGCCAGGCCGGCAGCAGCCTCCGCGCCGGACACCGGCACGAGACAGCGGGACTTCACTGAAACCATGTCTACAGAACCCCCGGACCAGTTCGGGTTCTCGGAGGAAATGAAGCACTTATGTATCATCTTGCATATATTCTGTCCCCCCGCCCGCCTCTAGCCCAAGATTGGCCAGAAAGTCAGAGTCAACTGTTGCTGAACTTTGTTCTGCTCTGAATCAATACTCGCGATCATTTCAGTAATTGTTAAGTTGACTCTTTTTTTATTTAAATCATCCCTCAGCAGGTCGGCAAACATTACATCTGAGCTTTTCATACGTGCTCGTTTTGATTGTGGAAATGTTTTGCATGTAAGGCATCAATTAACAGAGACAGAGCGCAAACACTTACACAAGAGCCATTATACAACAATTATACAACTTTAACTTCACATCTGTAGATAAAAACATGATGAGCATGAGTGACACTTTTCATTCAAGACAACAGAACCTGCCAACATTCACAATGCTGAGTTCTGTTTGCTTTAGAAGAAAGTTAATGAGATATGAAAATAAATTTGCCAAATCTTTCCTTCCTGTGACCTAAAGATTAACAATAACTGCTTTTCAGCTCAGATAGGCAACAAGGTTGCTGACTTGCAGTGTGAGGTTGCTGCAAAGCAACTTACACAACTACTGCTTTCTGCTGTAAACCATTTAAACCTGCTTTTTATCTTGTTAAATGAGTTGTGTGTTTGTGTGAGATATTAATCTCTAACAAGTAAATGCAAAAAGAAACAACCATAAATTTGCAGAATGTTGCATCTTCTCTCTTACAGTGAATTTAAACATGCTGTCCATTTCATGACAATATAACTTTAGCACAACTCTATATGACAGAACTGCTTCAACCAAATTTCGGGTTAAAGCAGCGTTTCTAGGAAGCCGGGTGCCTAAAATGAATCTGTTGACACAAGCCTGCTGCAGCTTTGCAGGAAAAAAGTTTAGCAAGAGTTCTTTGGAACCTCTAAATCACGCATCATGAATAAACGAGGCTCCCTCAGCTGCAAATTACATTTAATTTGTGTTCAAGGAATAAAAAACGTTGGGTTTCACTCGCAAGATACGTTGAAAGCGTGCAACTCCAAACAGAGCAAGGGCAGGCCAGATTTTGTTTTCAATATTCATTTTTTCTTATATGAAGATGTTTACAGGCAGAAACTGTCAGTTCTAACTAAAGCAGAGATAAATGACAATCACACTTTAGGTTTATATATATTCAGTGATTTAAAACAACGTAAAATTGACAAACATTTAGATTGAAACTCAGAAATCCTCACATAAAAAATGCTTTGATTCCCGACTTCAAACCTTTAAAACGTTCCTGGACAAGATCCTGAACCCCCAAATGTTCCCCTTGTTTTTTCTCCATTGCATTTAAAGTAAAAGCATCAAGTGAATTAAAAGCCAAGCATTTAACGCTCGCTGCCTGCAGCCGTTCATGTCAGAGCTTAGAACTGAGATCATCTTCTGATGAGGAACGATGATGGACGTATGGCAGTTTTAATTACTGCTTTGCAAGATCTCACATTATGTGTTGCTGCACAGAGAGGACGTGCTGGGGATCAGCTTTAGCTGCTCTCCCACCAACGTTAGCTCAGTACGTTTGAGTAAATTGCAGCCATTTGTTGCATTTGCGAAGTTTGGTTAGCTGCACTTAAACTGGGTTTACTCCAAAATATGATCAATTAAAGACGTCCATCCAAGAATTACATTCTGGGAGTGTCAGTAAATTCCATGTAATGAAAAAGAGTTGTAAGCTCAATCATCCAGGTAGAGAACAACAACAAGATGTTGTTGTTCTCTACCTGGATGATTGAGCTTACAACTCTTTTTCTGAACCACTTTGGCCTTGGCTGCCCTCAGGCTGTTTCTGAGGTTGGCTTGAAACACACAGTGAAGGCTACTATCTAGTTGGCAGGCCGTAGACTGAGGAAGTCCTCTGGATGGGGGACAAAATGTTTGAAACTGGTCCAGATTACACAATTTAACCTTTTTTGTTATTCCATCTAATGGTTCATAAAATATTTTGCTAACAAACAAAACAAAGTTAACTCCTATAGTTAAAGGCAAAGTTTGAAAACAGACCTCATGCTATCCATTAGTGCTCAGAGTGTGTGTTAGGAATGACTCTCAGCCACTGCCACACCAAATTTTAGCTCAACATCTATAGAATGTTTCATATAAAAAGCCATTCTTATGTTTGCTAAGATCACTTAGCTTTGGCAGATGTTTTGATCAAATCGATTCCAGAAGTTTATTTTTTTGTGGACGTCCACCCAAATATTAGTTCCTGTGAGTTTCATTGAAATCCATCCAGGGGTTCTTGAGATATTTTGCTAACGCTCCGCACAAACACACTGTCATCCCTTTGCTTTCAGTGACGGGCAGTATATAAAATGTAACGTAAAACTCAATCCAGCATTACGCCACACAGCACTTCAGTAATAATTCAAACTCTTTAAGAAACAGTTTCTAAATCAAAATAAATGCGGAGCTTCTCCTTTAAAGCCACATTTGACAGACAGAGTAGTCCAGATCAAACCGTTTGGGGTGTTGGGTTGCTTTTATGCTGGTGTCGATTCTCAGGTTTTTAGGCTTGCAAACTTTGACCCAGTAAGTAATCTGCAGGTTCCTTCACCTCCACACATTACAGGTTAGGTCATTTCTTGTACGTAGAGGTTAAAGGTACAGACATGTGACACATTCCAGACTTGCACAGTTTAGAGTGATTGAAGCCAGAATTTATGCAGAACTGTGGGGAGATTGTCCAGGACAGGAAGAAGTTACAGTTTATTTTTCAGCTAAACAAACGTGATCAATAAATAGCTCTGCAACATTATTAGTACCCGTTATTTAAGCAGACAACTCCCACTAAGTTCACAGATCTCGTTTGCAAGGGAGGCCTGGCCCTCATGCACGCAGACTAACATGCATGTTTTTGGACTGTGGGAGGAAACCGGAGTACCGAGGAAAACCCATGCAAACACGAGACGAACATACAAACTCCACACAGAAAGACCAGGCAGGTCCAAAATGAGGATTGAAGCAGGACTTTCTTTCTGTGAGGCAGCAGTGCTAACCACAAATCCATTGTGCTGACAGTTTAGCCAAATTTGTCAAAATATTTGAAACAAGGATTTTTTTTTTTCATGTTTGGTTGGCTTCATCCATCATTTATTGGTTTCAAAGTTGTTGTTTTTCTGGGAGGAGACCCGGGACACGCTGCAGGGACTATGTTTCTCAGCTGGCCTGGGAACGCCTTGGGATTTCCCCAGAGGAGCTGGCCCAAGTGGCTGGGGAGAGGGAAGTCTGGGCCTCCCAGGCTGCTGCCCCCGTGACCCGACCCCGGATAAGCGGAAGAGAATGGATGGATGGAAGTTGTTGTTTTTAAGCAAGAGTTAACATGCATAAATATGTAATCATCAATCTAATTTGGATTTAAACTGTAAACGTGTAAACTTATTTTTGTAAAACTCTGCCTCACTTTTATTATGACTAATTTTTCATTAGACATTAAAATGTTTACCCAACCACTTCCTGCTGAGGCAGCAGCTTCTTTCCAGATGCCTCAGTGGCCTCGACAAACCTCTTCCAATTAGTCAGATGTGTTAATTAATGTGCAATTTACTTTCTGCGCTTTTTGCCACATACCTTGACTCAAAAGATGTTCTGGAAGTATTAATTCAATTCAATTCAGTTTATTTATAAAGCGCCAAATCACAACAAAGTTGTCTCAGGGCACTTTACAGGAACATTCACATAAAAGCCAATTAGTAAAGTTCTCTATCTAAGGAATCCAGCAGACAAGTTGAATCTTGGCTTCGTTGCAGTCTCCCATCCAGAGCAAGCACAGAAAAACATTTTTCATCCATCCATCCATCCATCAACTCTAATGACTTCTCCCTTTTCGGGTTGTGAGGGTCACTGGTGCCATGTCTAGCAGTGACTGTGTGAGAGGCAGGGAACACCCTGGACAGGTCTCCAGTCCATCTCAGGGAAACCTGGAGACAAACGAGGCAAACAACCATTCACTCTCTCTCTCACCTAGGGACAATTTAGAGTTACCAATCAGCCTAACATGCATGTTTTTGTCTGTGGAGGAAACTGGACTAAATTGAATTCTTTAAAAAAAAAAGAGCTCTACATGCATCATCTTAGAAGATGTCAGATATATTTACAAATGAATCTGACAGATTATTTATAAAGTACTGTTAAATTCGTACATTTGATCTGGACTGTTTAGAATGTGTAACAACTTCAAAAATTCAACAAGAGTCAGCATTTCAAGTCAGAAACGATCATTCATGCCAAATGATTGCCTTTAAGTTTGACTAAGTTTTATGATTTTTTAAAAGCATTTTGTTTCAGTCACACAACTTGTGTATTAAGATGTTTCTACAGTTCTGTTCAATAACCTTTTTCAGCTGGAGCTAGATCTTATCTGTTGAGGTCGAACCCAATGGTGCAGGCAGCACACCAAACTCAGGTGGTAAAAATAATAATAATTAATTTCCAAAACGCAAAAAGCTGGCGGGGCAGCAAACTTACATAGGCTCTGGAGTCACAACGAACACAGGAGACAGAGGAGACAGGAAACAATGCCAGGACACTGATAAACACAAAGACTCAGATTTAAATACTAACACTGATGCAACCTAAACACAAAACACCTGCAAAGCATCACGTGTGGGAAGCAGGGGGTAATCACAAGAGGAGCAGGACCGAGACACACTACAAGAGGGCACAATCCTGAGAATACCTTCCCTCCAAGGATGTCCCCTGACATCTCCATGAACCCACACCCCAACACTTGGTTGGGACGAGGGGGGAACCACGAGGATGAGGGCACAAGGGAAAAACACAAGGAAAGATCCAAAAACTGGCAGGGTGGAACCTGGGAACTACACAAAAAACACACAAGGGACACAAAAAGTTCAGGTGGATGGCTGGGCGACTGTCCATTGTTGGGGCAGGGTTCAAGGTGGATGGCCAATAGGCCATGTAGCACAGGGTCAACGTTAAGGGG